TCATACATACATACGTACGTACGTACATACACATACATACATACATACATACATACATTCATACATACATACGTACGTACGTACATACATATGTACGTAAGTACGTACGTACAAACGTACAAACATACATACATACGTACGTACGTACGTACGTAAAAACGTACATACATACATACGTCCATACATACATACATACATACATACATACATACATACATACATACATACATACATACATACGTACAAACGTACATACATACGTACACACGTACGTACGTACATACATACATACGTCCATACATACATACGTKCATATATACGTTCATACATACAGTCAGGTCATGAAAACACTGCATCAGATATCCAAAGACAGTCATTTTCTAAGTTAAAGATAATAAAAGTGATTATTTTTGTTTTTCCGACTCACCTTTAGCTGTTTGCTTTTAATCTGTCAGTATTTTTTAATGATGAGATGCCGACAACAATAGCTGCAGTGTTCCAGTTTTTGTCCACAGACACTGGCCCGCTTTGTCTTTAGAACAATGATGCTCAGAACAAAGAGGGAACTTTAAGAACATTAGTCTGCTGATGCAGAAATCAGCACCATATGCCTCAGTGCTTTTTTTTATTCTGGCTATAATTCTTACAAAAAAAAAAAAGAAGATACAACAGAAGAATTGTTGATTGTATGCATGTGCACAAGCACTTGTGCATCTGCTTGCTGTCAAAGTGTCCGACATAATAAGACGTGCATGAGAGACGGGCTGTTCAACAAATCTGAAAATGTGTTTATCCTCTTCCCTTTGAACGATGATGTATGTTACGATAAAACTGTCATTCTTCATTTCGGATGTTTCCCTCTGACTTTTATTACKCTTTCCTCTCCGCGCATCTTGGCCTCAGAGAGTCCCATTAAAGTCGACGCAGGACGGGTTTGGCGGGGATGCTTCGACTGCCAAAAACGATGCGGAGCATGAGGGAAGTTTACACTCAGCACAATGCCCCTATTTGCTGTATTTACATCACAAGCTCAGGTGTTTACCTCAACGGCACACTCGTGTTTACTCGTAGGTTCACAGGGACACTGGCTTCTCTTAAGAGTACATGTGATTTAGCGATCGAGCTCCGAGATAAAAAAAAACAAAAAAAAAAACAAAACGACTGAACTCCACTTATTCGTCCAGAAACCAACGCAGGAGGAAAACATTACGACCTCCGGCTGTTTTGCTTTCTCTGAGTTGCACCGATCCCTCAGATCTTTCGAGCCTCAGGCCAAAAAAAAAAAAAAAAAAACAACCTTCATATTTATTTGAATTCATATATCTGCTAAACATTACATCACATGAAACACCTCAAATGCAATTACGTCGTTTTCTGGTTTCATCAGACTTTTTAAGATCAGATGAAAGAGTAAGCTGCCGCGCCGCTTGAAGCCGACAGGATTCAAGTTTTGAATGTTTTGCTTTGCTTAAAAACAAAAAAACCTCAGATATTAATGTGAAATAAAGTATCATTAGCATTAGCATTATTCAGCTTGTTGCACCTCGACCACAAACTTTTGATATTGATCGACAAGCTTCTAGGGTTGGGTAAAATTGACAAAAAATGTATCACAATTAATTGTGGTATTTAGATAATTAATATGGTAATTAATCCCCTGGAGTCCCTGGACGCCCTCATATACATGTCATATGACAGAGTTAAATCACTCTAGTGGGAACGATTTGCTCTCCATAAAAATACGTTCCAAATTGTGTCAAAAGTTCAGACTTCAGGCTATACATCAATTTTTAAATTGTGCTGATAGACCAAGTAAAACCCAAGTTATGATAACTTAATTACAAAATTAAAAAAAAGTTTGTCATATTTGAAGTGGAGAGGAGTATCGATCGGACTGACCGGGGAAATCCCCAGTAATCATATTAATCGTCAAGTGCCAAAAAATAATTAAAGTTCTTCTGACAAATACAATTTTATCTAAGCTTCTGGTATATTTTCTGACTATCAGTAGTGGAGCTGGACTTTTATGTTAGGGGATAGCCAATGCTTTTTCAGGGGTCACAT